AACATAGATTGACTCGTTAGGTTTCTTAGCATTTCAAGATCGACTGCAGTGAGAAAAAATGGGGTTTGGTTTGGAAATGTTTCTGATGATTTGGGGAGTGAAAAAAGGAGCCTTGTGGGAAGGCTTACATTCAGCAAGACTTTGGCTTCCTTGGCAAGAAAGGAAGCTACTATAACCATTTCAGGCTCCGGAGCTGTTTTGTGGCATAAGTACTGCTGTATTTCATTTCCACTGCCATTGTTTCAGTGGTTTAGTAAGAGGGTAGTGGTGGAATTAATTACAGGGTTATTATACTCAGGTACTGATAAGATAGGCTGCCATTGGTCCTTCTATTAGGAACATTGTGGTAAAAAGTGTTCTGTTGTGCTTCCTGGCTCAAGCTAATTGAAAGCAAACAGAGCGGTGCTGTTTTGCCCTATATTCTAGATTAGCCTTCAGATCACAACAGCTGGCTAAAGGGGAAAGGAAGAGACAAAATAATGCCAGGCCTTTATCAGCCCCTATAAAAATAATTTTAAAAAACCCAAAACCTTCTCTTGGTTTTTCTGATTTAGGACTAGGCCACTGAAGGGAAATGAACCGGAGGTGGCATTTCAGAATGTCTGCAAGGAGAGCTGGTCTTCAGGCTGCCAAATTTCAGAGATTAACGGGTAAGTCTGCTTCAGGTGGCTCTGCTTGATCCGGGAAAAGCATACCAGGGTTTGGGAAGGCTATAGAGACTTGTGACATTATATTATGACTGTAATATAATTATTAAAGGGGAAAAGCTAAATATAGGAAACAATGCTATGTAATAAGTCAGGCTCTTAAGCGACCCAGTAATAAATAATAATAAAGCCGGTGTTTCTTGGCCCTGCTGCCTGCAATTTTTAAGAAGAGATTCTAGGGCTTGAATCTAGAAACTCTTCCTAATAAATGCTGTATTCTAGCCCTAGGTTGTGTCTTCTTCCTTAATGAATTCAGTGTTAGTGCTGTTTTAATTCTGTGCCTTTTGCAGAACACAATGGGTATGCAGAATACGTTATTTTTCCAGCACCAAGCCAAATGCCATGGAATTCAGCAGGCACTCCTACCAGCTTTTTATTTTTTGTTCCCTTGCTTTGCATGGCCCCATAGATGATAGCACCTGCCCGGTCTTGTCTAGGCTGGGATGTTAAGGTTGTGTTTGTTTAGAATTTGGATAGGAGATGCCAAGGCTGGTGGTCAATTGAGTATCCCAGAAAAAGGATACTCCACTTCTGCATTATTTCCAAGAAAACTGAATTGAGGTCCTCATGTAGTCACTAGGAAGCATGCTCAATTTACGTATTTTT